AATGTCAGCAGTTTCATGCACTATGCATGTTCGCAAGCGAAACAGCATCGTTCTCTATTGCATATGGGGAGGGGTCTTATTTGGTCGTTCTTGGGAGAGGGGGGAGTCGTTCCTTTGAGAGAAATTTGCCATGTTGGGAAGGAATTTCTCCCGGTTGCTGACTTATCGCGGTTTTTCCCGTTTCACATTGGCTATATACCCCCTTCGAAAGCGAATTCCGGAGAAAGTGGAAGGAGTTGGGAACTTGTAGGAAAGTGAAAAAAGGTGAGGTCGTGCCGAGATACTCCCTCAAGGGCGAGGGACGCACTGACATCACCATTTAATACATCACGATACTGTACCCTGGCGATTTGCTACCAAATGATGGTTATCACAGTGTATATCCCTTTAACAAGTTTTTTAATCCTTTTAACAAGTTTCTTCTAGAGCTGTATGACTTAAATGAGCCCAGCTCGACATTTATAGCACTCGATAGCTCAGTACAAATCTGAAACGGAAATGCATTCTTTCATTATAGGTCGATTTCTTCGAAGAGATAGCGTTCGTCATCCAGCCATCGAAGTGAAAGCAAAGCGATAGTTATCCGGTGTACCCGTCAAGATCGCTCACTTTCTCCCTTGTTGCCTTGATGAATATCGAATCTTGATCGGAGAAAATTCAACGCTGTTCGTGAGCTGTTCCTGGGACAATTGGGAGCATTGTCACCAAATCCGTACTGAACCTGATGCTACACTTCATGTCTCAGATATTGGAAGATCGCTGGCTGCATACCTCAGTGAAATATATTGCAGTCAGGGTACAGCATAGTGATGAGTGAAATGATGGTGTCAGTACAACCCCCCCCCCTCCCCACTTGAAAGGGGGTCTCAGAACCTACTACTCTCCTAAAGTTTCCTGCCAGCTTCCGAAATTTCCCACATTCTTCTTTTTCACCCAAAAATTTTCCGTTGAGGAGAGGTGGGGGGAAGGAAGAATATAGCCAATGCGTAAGGGGAAAAACCGCGAAAAGTCAACAACCGGGAAAAATGTTTTCCTAATGCGGCAAATTTCTCTTAAAGGCACATACGATCCCCTCCGCTATCTTAACAACGACCAAATACGACCAAGTATGACTCCCCATCCCTCTAGCGGCTAAGTATGACCCCCCCCCCCCGCATGCGTTTCACACAACGATGCTGCACCCTGATCGCAGGATGTGCCGTACAATGTTTCCATGTGAGACAAGTGTCATCCTTTCTTGTGCCATACAAAGATTTTTCTCAAAACAGCTGTATCCAGCTAAAGCTGCCGCTGCCAGCGTGCGAATAAAGTGCGGACCTACGCCCCCCCCCTATCTCCTAGATATGGAGTGTTTGTGATCCACAATAGTGCAAGCGGATGCTTACAACTCTGATTACGTCGCCTTCATAGCAAGTATTTCTGCGAAAATCACCCTAAAAGTGGAAGCACAGCGGGGAATAAGGAGTTTGATTTATTCGTGGGATTGAAATCTCGTAAACGGATCGTAGCGCATTTGTATCGCGGATTCGTCACATTTTTGATGGAATGCTTGATTTATTAGCTCCATCAAATGGGCAAATATCGAAATTTCAAGAAATACTTGCTTCAAATAGCAGAAGATCCGTATTTGAAATCATCGTGCAAGTAACAACGAAAAGTTCCCGTCATTGAGCTTTTTGAATTGCGATAGGTGAGGCGTTTCTCTTCATCGATTTTTCTCACTGGGCTGGAAGAACTGGTACCCATTCCGCTGATACAGATCACTCAAATCGAAAGTTCTCTTCACCCTTAAAACTTAGTTGGTTCTACAAATTACGAGGGTAAAAAGCACACTCTATTCATGAATGGCACCATAAACCTTGAGGACAAGCTGCACACCCTTCTCCGTGCATCCTGGTACATGCATGCGTGGAGGAAATGAGTCTACGGCTGCAAAAGTACGTGCTTTCTCCGTGAACGGGTTAACGGGTAATACTACCCCGTGCCGTTTCCATACTTCGCCCGCGGTGCCGCACGGCCAGCCACAGCCTCACCATAGGCAAGCGCGCTACTTGTCTGCGCCCAGCCTTTTTAGGTTGTTCTTCACCGCTGAGTGCGTGTTTCGATGCGGGATCTTGGTATCTACACAAGTGCTACATCTTGAGGATACCGCGGGTGCAGCATGGAAACGACACCTGGGTAATACTATATTCTGGCTCCGTTGTCTTCCCGCATTTCGAGTGGAGAAAGTGGTGCGCAACTGCACGACGGACCCAAAAACATCCAACAGACCCTCCTCGGAAGTGAGCGCACAGTTTACCTTTATGTAAAGGGGTGAAACTAAGAAGCAGAACCCAGTGCCCCTGATGGTTAAAGGGCCGTATCGTGGTACAAACACTTGAACGTCTACTACCCACCCCTTAAGCAAGAGCCTTCAGGATCCCTTACCCCATTGGCTCGACCCAAAAATTACGCAGGAGCTTCGGACTAACGCAAAAAGTAGGACTTTTTTAGCTTGTCGGCAGCGATGGATGGGTTCATTTTCTTGCAAGTGTGAAAACAATGGTGGGAGTTGCGACTAGTCAAGAGGACTGTCTTTTTCTGTTTCCTGCGGACCTGCCTGAAAGGTGCTATAACTTACTTGCATAACTGCTGCCTTTCGCTAACCTTGTCCAAACGGGACAAAAAGCAAAACATAAGAGCGTTTCGAGCCAATCAATCGCTTCGGGATGCTCTGAGAGTAGTTCCCTTTTCCAACCTATGAAAGGTAATCAGTTCTTACAAAGGTCTTCAAGAGCTAAGGCATGTTCGTTCCTGTGTTTGCAACCTGCGTTTCAGTGTTTGCAACCTCTTAGACATAAATTTGGTGCGGAACACCGATCACGAATAGGCTTGGTTAGCCCGATCGAGGATTTGTAAGGGATCGTGTACGATGCGCAGTCAACCAGAAAGCGCTAATATTATCTGCTTTATGGACCCATTATAGTATTATCCACTACCAGCTACATCGAAAAAGGCCTCCTAGAAGCAGATGAAACCTTTTCTCATCTGGAATCAATGCCTAGAAAGTTGCAGGAACTTTGGAACAGCACAAGGGCATCGGACTCCCAGCCTTCAAAAAATGACGAAATTGATCAAGAGGTAAGGTACCGTACAGGTAATTCCTCCTCAATTCCCAAGCCGCGTCATAGTGCCCTGAATTAAATGATGCAAATCGCAGTTATACCAGCCTTAAATCATTCCGTAACGTTTTTTTACATCACACTTCGTTCATAGGTCGGCTGAAGTCATCAGTAATGTCCTCAAGGAAGAATTACTGCTTTATCTCTGGTTGTAACTTCAATCACTCGCTTCTCACAGCTCATCCCTAGGACTGGAAGTCGTTTCCCCACTAGAAGACGTTGTTCAACGGGGCGAGAACACTGACAAGCCAGTTGACATTTTAGTGCGCTTAGTGGGTCGTTAACCACAGAAACCTTTTCTTCACATGTTTCACTTTTTCGGCCGTCGTTCTTCTTTCACGCGAGAATAGTATCAATGTTCATAATTACTGGTTATGCCATCTTATCTGCTTACCATCCAGCTTCAAAGTATTACCCCTATCATGTTATTGTAATCGGCCGCGACCTAATGTTCGCGAGGCACGTCTTTACCAGTTTCATTTTCGCGTGCGCGGAATTTCACCCAGATGGCCCATATCGATATTATGGACCGCATCGTAAAGAACTGTGAGTGTAGATATCTTAATTTATTAACACATACGTATAATGAATCTTTGTGTGTATGCAGTGGTATGTGTGTGTGGAGTGTGCACTTATCCGGGGATCGGATCGCCTGGATGACCCGATTTCGGGCCGGACGACGACGCCTCACCCACAGGCGGCCATCAGCAAACGCCCTCTCCGCCTTAGCTGACTGACCAACACCACCTTCACTCGGACATTGTCGTCGATCAAGCGATGCAGCTCGTCACTGCCTCGCCTATTCAATCTCTTCTGCTCTTACTCGCCCTAATACACAACATCATCTGTGATAAGCCACTTATCATTGAGAACGGGGGTAAATTATTTTCTTCTCCTTAATTATAACTCCACCTCAATGGCAGTCCCAGCTATTGGATGACTCGTGAGTAAGCCATTTTTGGCACCTGAGGTCTTCCGCGGAACAGGGCGCGCAAAAACGCCAGTAGCACCTGAGGAGGCTCGTGCTTATGCTTGCCCGCAGGAGGATTGACAAGTGTACCAAGAACGATGTTCACAGGACGCACTGTACTCACAATCAGCTTACTTCTTTTTTGTATGTACCTCGGGAGAAAGGCGAGCCAGCCCTCTAAGCCTGAGGGAACGAGCCGGGCCTCATAGCCTGAGGGATTTCTACGATTAGATCTCGAGTCACATAATGTACTTCTCATCGGCAATGTTGCACCTTTTTCTGCGGGATATGCCGTCAAATGCAGTCATAAACCGGGCGTGACAATAATGATTGGCGTGGGAGAGAACTCGCTTCGTCCCGTTCTTGTCTACTCCGTGCCCGATCTTGACCGGAATCGAAATCGAAACCCGAGTCGCACGGCGGTTTCGATTTCAGCTATCGCTGACCCACATACCGACCCACGTATCGGGAATTTGTTGATGAAGATGGCTCGTCCAAAGGAATGTGAAGTTTTCATAATGTGAATTGTGGACTGTGGACAAATGCACGCCCAACTAACGTCTATCTGATAGTCGTCGTTAGAAAAGAAATGAAAACGGGGCAGTAGCACGTGGAAGAATTTCGTATGCGAATTTCAAAACGACATCCACCCCGCTGACACATCCCATTCAGTCAAGTATGACCGAACGATTATTGAAGTGATTTGAACCCGATCTCTTTTCAGCTGTTTGCGAAAATAAAGCAACCGGATTTTTCGTAGTCGATAATACAATTCTTGGCACAGCTGACTCTATTGTCTACAAAGATACACCAGAAGAAGATTGCCTTACCACCTGTTCCACAAACAGAGTAGGTTTTCGTTCTATTCATTTGATTTCGCGCAGTTCGGCTAGGGGGGAGTGACATTTTGCACGTCCCAGCTTCCCATCGTCGTGTCGAGCCATGGAGTAGAGAGTTGTGAAAAGTTCAGTAGCCAGAAGTGATACGTCATACTTGGCTGAAACTGCAGGTCAACCCCAAGGCAATGAAAACGAGAAGGGAAGAGGGGAAAGTGCAAAGCCCCCTCCCCCTGCTCAGCGAAGCTGCGCCTTTACTTCCTAATGAAAACATTGCATAAAGCAATTGTTAGATAGCACAGTAACCTCGAAAAAGCTACCTGTAGACACTAGTCATTTTTCCGTAATGCTTCGTTGGCTAATAGCCTAAGAGGCAAGATTTCTTTTGCAGTATTCTAATCGAAGAAATCTCTGCTCCTGCCTATAGGCAGGAATGTTGAGCTTCACATCTGATTTCAACGTCATGTGCTGAATTCTCTCAGATGCTTCTCTCTTCTGAATGAGGATTTTGAACTATGAAATTTCCTGGATTACTCGACAAGTACTTGACTTACGCTGTGGCTATTGAAGGCATACTGAACGCAGACGAATGTACCCTTTTGACGGTTTTTGCACGTTCGCTAGTTCCTTTTGTTAGTTTATGTCACACAACGAGACTTTGGTTAGACCTTGGACTCCTGTGGAACAACGAAATAATCCTAGTAAGCCAATTCGGTCACAGAAATTCACGGGTCCTCACAAGGTGAGCTGCTTTTTTAGCTGGGTGCCAGTCGTTGCCCCTTCAAGCCTAACTGTGTCCCCTCTCTCTTCTCAAACAAAAACCAGGAGTGCTGTCCATTCCCTTGTCCAGGCGCCATTATTCGAATCACTTTGAAGTGCAGCTCCGAACCCTTACCTCTGAAGGTTCTCGTGGAATTTCACTTGTTTACCCCTCCTAGGCCTAGGATCTGCAATCCGATCATTTCTATTTTTTTATTTCACTGGTTCTCCTTCCTTGAGATTGTGGGACGTTACACTAAGAACTTCTCCAGCTCACGATGCTGCTTGCCTTCGCTTAATTTCCCTTTTGACAATGTGAGAGTTAACTAAAATAGTTTCTTTGAAAATATCTGCCTTCCTGTTCTTATGGCTAGTTTTTTTACCGCCGACCAGACTTGTTATTTGTGAACTAGTCAACGTTGCGAGCAAATCGTCTTTTTTCTTGACCTGAAAGTGGCTCGAACGCCTTATTTAGAACATGGTCGAGCGCCCCATCATACTAGGCTAGTTTCAGCACTTCCCAAGAGCACCGAATAATAAAAGGCGAAGTCAGTAAATCGGTGCATTAGTAAAAGTGAAAGGTATTAAGAGTAGGGCGCCATGGCTCTTATGTCTGATCTTTCTTTTATTAGGATCGTTTTGGACGTTCAATATTGTGCGCCTCGTTTGTGTATGATCATGCCTCGTTCACATGTACGATCTTCAAAGAGAAGGCGAAACCAGAAGGAAAGGCCGACGTTGTTCAAGCTGTCGGCAAACGCTACTTTGAGAAAGTTTGCTTAGGAGGTAAGATATTAAGCTATTTTCTGAAATAAGTGTCAAATAGATGTAGAGCCATCACTGTTTCTACCGAACTTTTACCGACTGCACGCTGTTTGTGAGAACTCGATGTAAATTGAAAAAAGGGGACAGGGGATCCTCAACGGGGGTCACAGTTGACATTTCGACGGGGTCCGCACCAATATAAAGGCATGCTTTCGCGGGAAATGCAAGCATGTATGTAAGAAACATGTAGAAAACATAACGCTGGAGAAGGGTCTTATCCACCGACCATTTTCCCGATCCCGATCACGTACCCTGAAAGGAAGGCAAGGAGAAAATGGGAAGTTGAATTGTCAGGAGGGGGGTCTTACCTGAAGAGGAGATCGTATTGAAACCGATCTGTCATATTTCTACAAAGTGGCGTGGTTCCTCTGACAAGTTGCTCTCTTCTCCAGACAGAACAAGTTCTAGGTTGGGAATCCCCATCGAGGCAGGGGCCTTATTTGGACGCTGAAGGGGGTACTCGTATTTCCTCTCGCGAAAATGCTCCCGGTTGACTTTTTTCGGGTTTTTCCCGTTTCACATGCGTTACATACCCTCCTGTCCCCGCCAGACAGTACAGGGCACATCGTTATGCGGAAGCCTCGACAGGAGGAGGTCGTATTTGGCGCCGGAAGAGGGGGTGGTCGTACTTGGACTTCCTCCTCCCCGCTTGACGGCTCGATTCGATGAGGAGGGCCGGAGGAGGGGGGGGGTCGTACGAACCCCCAAAAAGGAGGAGGGGTCGTAGAAACTCGACTGAAATTCCCAACCAATGATTTTCCCTGTGACAGTAGTTTTCCAGGGAAAAGCTACGAAATTTGCAGAAAAATGACAGGAAGTTGGGAGGAATAAGGAAGATCGTAGGTAGCATGGGATGGGATCCCAGAGGAAGGAGTTTTTAAGAGGGGGGTCTTATTTCACAGATATTCTTCCCGACGGCGTGACGTGCCCCATTTACTATACTCTAAACATTCTACAAATCTTTCTTCTTTTAGACGATGTTCCAATGGAATGCGCTGATTCGCAGTTCATTCGAGCTGATGATTCTGTTCTGATCGGATTTGCTCGGAACGTTACACTTGTGGAAACAATGGAACAATGTGTGGAACAATGCGTGAAAGAGAGCGATTGCAAGGTAGAGCGTATTCCTTTTCCAATCGCATTTCACTCTCGATCCGTTATGATCCATCAACATTTCCTTGTTCGCGTTTGTCATCTTATCGTCTGTAGACAAATTGAGAGAGAGAATCGGTAGGAGATCCGGGTTTGAAAACGATGCTCTGTTCACATGACGATAACCGAGGGAATCTGACGTTATATCGTTTTTTCCATTCATTTTACAATGAAGCCACGTAGCTATAATGCGACAGTTACGTTATAAGCGCGGCTTAATGTTTTTTGAGATCAAAATCAAGAACTAGGCTAAATATGTAGTGCGTTCCTGGGTGTCCATCGATGCAATCCTGACATTATTGTCATTTCCTTTTCTGTAAAGCATAATTTGTCTTACCAGGGAGGGTGAACAGGTCATTCCGACCATCTGCAATGAAGGGTACACCGCTGTACGTCTGCGATGAGACTCAAATGCCCTTCCAAAATTAGAGAAGGGTTCTCCGCACTCTGACTCTCCGAAGTCTACCAAGCCAACCTTTTAAAAATGGATACAAAAACTTCAGATTTGCTAGATGGCCATCTTATGATAATGGCGCCCTGATCACGTGTTTGACACGTTCTGCTTGAAGTGCTTTTTCGCGCGGCGAACAGGTGGCGGCCCCAGCGCTAGCGGGTGTGGCCTCGGGCGCACCGGCGCATTCATGGAAAATTGTGAGAAAATCTGATAAATCTCGTTCGAGAACCCTTTGCAGATTCTGAAGTGAATATGAGTTTAATGTCTAAAGTCGCGTATAGATACCGTCATCGCATAATGGTGCCGGACTTGACTGTTGACCTTCCCTGGTTAGAATCCTGCACTATCCAAAGGCAGTTACCGCAATAGGCCTAGGTAATACTTCATAAATAGAATTCAGTGTGCCAGTTGACTTACATAAGAAGAATAAAGCACCAGAAACGGCCCGCAATAAGACCCTCTCTATTGCAATTGATCGTGACTAGCGGACGAGCATGAGATGGTCAAGATCAGTAGTGATTTGCAAAGGGCCACGATCAACTGAAAAGAGAGGAGAGATACCAGAAAACAACGAACGAGGTGGAATTGCCCAAGGAATTATGGGCATGGGCCTAATCGACCCGAAATATAGACTTTCTACGCTTGCCAATTCTCACCTGAATGTAGCAGAGCCTGTGAACTGCCTATCAAGCCACCATGCAAGTCTAAGAGGTTGTACAATGCCATGACTGAGGCCAGCATCAATTTTTTAGTTTCTCTGGGCGAAGCCGCAGTACAGCCCTCAACGCAATTTTTGTTCGATCATGATAGATCAGCTTGTAGAATTTTTTCAGCTTCCCCTCTCACTTATTAAAACTCATGAAACCCATAAAACAACTCATGAAGGATTTCGTGCTTTTGTGAGCATTGTTATCAACTCCCTACTCATCTGCACGATTATCGATCGATAGTGCACGTTCCCCTTCCCTTCAAGGAGAAACAGTACATTCACCTTTGTGGATCCTGGTTCTTGCCATGTGCGAGGTGAACTGGTTCGAGGCATCATTAGTGTGCGACTTTCTCCACCCAGGAATACGTAGGAACGGGGCTGGAGCTCAGTGACACCAAGCTGTCGTTTCTGGACTCTGCCTGTGGTGGAACACAGCCAGTCACACACTATCATAGCCGTACGCGCTACTTTTGTGTTGCTTCCCGGTCCTAAGCGCTCTCCACCTCTGGCTGCATGTTCAGTGCGAGATTTTGGTATGGACGCAAGGGCTGCACCTTCAGGATAGCTCCGATGGACTCCGGAAACAGACCCGGATACCAGTGCCACAGTCTCATTACCGCGCGCTTTCAGGTGTTGGAAGTGTTTCACTTAAACAGTTGCAACCCGTTCTTTTCGAACATGGCAAAGACCCTGCTCAGAGTAGAGTGACCAGTTAGTCTTGACTTGTAAACTACCAGCTGGTCTTTCTAAAGCACGACATTACGAATTAAAAGGCAGTTACTTGCACACACAAGATACAGCCCATTCTAGGCTGATTTTCGAACCTTTTTCCTCAGCAAGGAATTTTTGATTCTGAAACAGAAGTTACTTTACAGTCTGCCATGTACTTCTATGAAGAAGGGGAATGCATCACCAATACCGAGTCAGCGTTGTCCAAGCCAAGTGCATTTGCCAAGGAAGAGAATGAAAAAGTCGTCTACTTCCAAAATGGATGCCTTGCCAAACTTCAGGCCCAAGGTAGGTTAGCTAGATTCGTGAAAATTAGTACATAATTTTGGATTATGGCACGATTCTCATTGCAAATACCGTATTCAGATAGTGCGACAACTGCCGCTGAGCCGACGACTATGTCAGAGTCCAGTGAGACGACAGAGGAGATGGAGACCGAAACAGGTACTGTTCAGTGCTCGTTGGATGTGTTTTTCGTGCACCTACTTTTTACGCGTTTTAATGCTTATGTTTTGGGAATAACGTTTTTGTTGGGCACTGTTTAGTTCCGCACACTTTACCATCACGATCAAGGGGGTTTGACGGGGGGAAATGTGTGAATAGATTTGTTTCGTAGATTCGCTATGAATGACAAATGAGGTCACGACTGCAGAAGGCGAACAAGACCAAAACGTGATAATTACAGAACCGGAAACAGGAAAAACGTTTCTATGCAACAGAGCGCGCTCAAGTGTGGCAAGTTTTTCTTCGGACGCTGAGAAATAGTTCAACCCGAAGGCTTACGACATCTTGCCTCAGAGGATTGGAAGAAATGGCAATCCTTCTAGGGCAAATATGATAACGGGCTGAGAGATATTCAAGCTGAAGGCTTCAGATATTTTGCCCCAAGGCACTGGAAGAAACAACGACCCTCCCTACCCAGGGCTTGTTTGACAAGAATGCGACTCGCTGCCTTCAGAAGCGGAGGGCCTGTACATCAAGTTGACAGAAAACGAAGAAGTGGCAATCATCCCTCTCCCTGCCCATAGTCGGATAAAGACAGTTCCCGCCATCAAGTGGTCCGCGAAATGCCTCCGTGCATTTGGCATCGTTGTCCGCATTCGCAGAAAATATACCACTTTCGTCACTCGAAACGGCGAGATAAAGAAGCTAGAGACGCGTGATTATTGCAACCATTGCAACCACGATTACTTTCACTCTGCAAGACAACGGCTTACAAGCGGAATTGCGTGTGTACATAGCGTTGCCTGGAGCGTCGTAGGGTGATTTCCTGTGCTCTTGCCGGGAACGGTTGCACGTCGAATCCTGCTGATTGGGCTTGCCTGCCGTCCGACAGGCTCCTACAAGGCGCCCACTGCAAAGGGTCTCTGTTCAGAGTGTTCCCAATGTTTTTTTTTCGCTTCTTCGCTTTAGGGGACTTACCCATGGGCTAGTTGTTCATGATTGAGCGCCTACTACTCGTAACAGAAGATTGCGGGAATTGCTTCTGAACCTCTTGCACAGTCTTTCTTAGGCCAACATATAAGCGCGCGCATTTCTGTAACTGTCTCGACGCCACATGGCCAGTTTCACTTTTCTTCCTGTTATAGAAGTCCTTCAGTGATTTTCTTCACGATCATCGAATTCCTCGAACAAGCACCCGCCACTAAGGTTGTTCCCTATTGCAAGTCAGAGTAACCCAGCGAAATGTCCTAGCTCGAGAACAGGAGCCTTTCAATACTTCCGTGCCGAGCTTTCGTTCGACTACCAGGCTGGTGATTCTCCTGACGGAGCTTAGCTAGTCTCCCGGTCAGTTCATCCAGCCACTTAAGGTTTTCGCAATTACACGAGATCATTAATATTATGCCAACACCTTTCACTATGAATGAGGAATCTGTCAAGGATTTACCAGTTGTTTAATTTGTTCTTTGAGAATTTAAGAATCAGTAGAGCAACAGCGCTCAGAAGCTGATGGTTCAAACCTAGTTTGACTAATTCAATAGGCGTAACCCTAATCATTTCGATGGTGCTGCACAATCTTTTTATGGTCTTGTTCTGGGAAAATTTCAACCTTCCAGAATATATATTGAAAAACTTGCTTGGTCCAGTAGCACTCGTTAAAATGCAATGATATGGAAATCCAGTTGACTAAGGCGTCAGAGTAATTTTATTGGACTTGTTTGCAGCCCCACAGTGACAATACTGCTTTTGGGCTGATTTGGACCCTGATCTCTCGGGAGACTTGTACGATTCCCTTCTCCTGGTATTCGTTTAACATCCCGTTGCATCCAGTCGGTATCCGCTTCAGTCCTATATGTAGGCATCATAAGTGACGTGTCCAGCTCATCTGATCTCTGGTTTTTTAGTAACTGTGAAGAGGTTCCAGATCTTTGGCCGTTGATGGAGTGAGAGACGCCGGATCACCTGTTGCACTTTCGTTCAGCGGGATACTCCAAATATCGTATTTCCTACTGCGCGTTGGATAACGCTAGCCGCATGCGTATCCTGCCTGCGCAAAGTGCCGCTCTTTGAGCGTCCCAGATAATAAGCATCGTAATTTTTCAAGAAGGCAAAAACTGTAGACAATTTTAACATATAGGAGTCGTCAGGCAAATTTTCCATAGCAGAGTTGACAGTTGAGTTGAGAGAGAAGTAGAAGCCATGTAATTTACACAGTTCCGATTTCCGACTCTTGCACTCTGTGCTATTTCCATTATCTCCTTAATGAAAACAGACACAGGCTATAAAACTCTCAGTATCTTACTATAGTGATCAATTTAATTATAATTGCTGAAAATTTGACACTCGAGATATTTCGACCAAACTTAAACTTTTCCCCACTTTTGATATTTCCCATGGCGCACTTGATCTGCACAGTAACTGATTTAGTTTGTGTAGCACTGAAACACAATTTAGAGTCACCTTCACTCACAACTACAGAGGCTTCCGACGGTGTAGATGACACAGACGGAGCCGATATGGCGTCAGAAAGTGAAAGTGGACGACGATCCACTGCTGTCACTGAAGAGCCTACGGATTCTGTGGAAATGAGCGACGATAATGAAACTTCTACAACTGAGCGGTCAACGCACAGTAGCAATGAAAGTAAGAAACATCACTGGGCACTATTTCACCACCACAAGCTTTACTGGTTGGGTGTATCGTCTCCTGAAAATGGCTCTTGAAGTTTATACTTGAGTTTTTAAGACACCGGTGATGATGACGACATCGAAGACACCACTTCAGCTGAAACCACTCCATCGGCTACTGAAGTTACTGGTTCTGATATGGAGGTCACATACTACCAGTCTTCTTTTACTTTGCAAGTTACTCAAAAGTAATCTTTCAGCCTGAAATGAAGGTCGAAGACGATGATGACGATTATGTAGCCGAGGAAGACAGCGAAGACGTAAGATTTTCATCCCCAACTTCGAAAATTGTTTGGTTTTCAGCTGCTGAAGTATTTTCTTGTAGTAGCATTTTACCTAAGCATTTAAGACGGAGACAGCAACAACGGCAAAGCGTTTGGAAAAGAAGGGAGAAAAGGCCAGCTACATCAAGTGAGCTTCTTGTGTCTTTAGTACTCGAAACCTTGTCTACTACATTTTTATTAAGGTACAAGAAACATCCAAGGAATTTTGCCTCGAAAACTGCCAAAATGTCAAAGAAACACGTGAAAGCTGAGGTAACCGAGTACCGCTAAAGCAGTTCTTTTTCGAGAGTCTCCCTCACGCCTTGAGCAGTCACCATCTAAATATAGGAATGTGTAGCAGCGCATCAGAGCCGCATGAGGGGTTATTCGCACCAGGGCCGAACTCGCTCAAAGTGGCAATGCATCGTTAACCAAACCTCAATACGGAAAACTCTGAAATTTCAGAAATACGAAATAGTATTGAATAAAGGTGCAATAGCCCATAGGCCGCAAAAAGGGCCCGTTTCAGGTGTAATGAACGCGTCTGCCCCTCCCAGTGAGCAGTGGTAGGGATCGCACTGAAAAAATGTGACCCAGCTGCCGGCTTGAGGATACAGTCCTATACCCTTCACCAATGCTATCTGAAGTGCTGATTGGCCTTTTGGCCCTCCTGTCTTTGATCCAAAACTAGGAACAGTTACTCGACTTCTTTACTAAAGGACTTCCCAGGGAGATAGGCGTATTTATTCATCTCAGGAGAACCCAGATAAGTTGGCCACCGTCGAGTACCGAGCCGAGGGGGCAAGAGCGGTCCCGGTAAGGTAATGGTTAACGCGACCGCACGGAGAGCGGGAAATACTGGTTCATTCCCGCCCGTGGTCTGACTTTTGCCCACAACTCCGCACTTTGATAACAAAATATTGGTTCGACAAGTACTCTGTGGCTGTCAGTAAGATACAACTTGGCCAAATACTATCCAGTGAAGAATCGCACACTGGGCATGCTATGGCGCAGGGGACAAATTCCCCAATGTGGCCCCACCTCCCACCGCCAGTCTCTAGATGTCTGTGCTACGTGATATTATGTAGACCTGGAACTATCTGGTAATTGCTAAATGTCACAAGATTCCTCTATTTCGGGGAATACCGTTGTAAATCGAGGGTTTTCATAACTTTTGTAAATTCTACTCGTAGCTGTACTGCTGCAATGTCACATGAAACGTGCAACTTTACATATAATTTTTTTAACAGACCGAGGCACCAGCAGCAGAGAACACTCAAGAGAAGGCAGTGGCAGGTAGCTCAAGCATCGAAGACGAGGTCTTAATTTCCTGTTTATTCATCGAAATTCTTCAGCATTTATATTTCACTTTTAAGGATTCATTTGTTGGTGATGAAGATGGAGAACCAGCCGACGAACAGCCGGCACCCGTCGAAAACAAAAAGCATTTGTCCATCAAACGAGTGCTGGAAAATACGCCAAAGGAAGACACTGAGGTCGGTAATTAAGTACTTGTTGGTGCTCATCTTGAAGAACACAGAACAGTACACTACTGATTACCAGTAACTGACTATTTTCAATTTTATAATTTACGATTATGTTTATTTGGAATCCATCACGAAAATGCGAAGTTCTGCGTAAAACGTTCCCTAGTAGTGCCCGTACCTGGACTTGATGGTTATTGTGCTGACGGGCTAGCGCGACTTCTAATAACCAGTCGGTCACTTCTTTCCCTACATGGTTCGAGTTGGAAGAGAAAATGAAAGGAGGCGTTTCCACGGACTTTTTTGAAATCCGGTTTTATCGGGTTTGTTGGGCTTCTGTTCGAGTTGAACTGGGTCAATAACCGTGATCGTATTAATTGAACTCCGTTTCCTGATCATTTCCTAATTTTGTCATTCGCTGTCCAAGTGTGAATTAAAGCCGGCGTGTATCCCTTCATCATTTTTCCACGTTTTTCAAACCACATAGTAGCTCTGTAGTGAAGCGATCGAAGAAGCGAAGTAGTACTCGTTGTGAAATGAAAGTATCTACCTATTTAATTCTGAATAGTACTCTGTGGACGCGTAATCGAGATTTGTCTTGTTAGATTTGTAAGTAAGACTACATTTTGGGCCTAGGCTATGTAACCTTGATGTAACGGATACCTTGTTGGCCCAGGCTGATCCAGATCCCTTGACGTCTATGGGGCCTTAGTGACAATGCACTACACCACCTTCTACCATTTTTAGGTATTTCTTTAAGCTTATGGTGCGAGCTTTCTTTTGGTGGTGCGATTTATGCGTCTTTGAGGGGGCAGTTCGGCTACGCGGAATCGAGGGGGTTTCCATCTTTGGCTAGTTCTATCGACGTGTCGACCCCATATAGGAAAGCTTTTTCGAGCTGATACGTATTTACGATGGCTAACTGATGAGCTTGTTCAGCATCACAAACACTCACAGGTTTACACGTAGGGCTGTAACGCGAGCTAGTGAAAGCAGTGAAAGGCCAGAATGCGCCCCCACCTCGTCCGTCGACTGCGCGCGACATGAGTAAGAGATTCAGCCTTTGGTACTCTGTGCTGGGCCAGTTCGTTATAAGGAGGGCAACCGCGGTACTTAACATAGGACGGTGTCTGAGCATCAAGGGGGCCTGTGAGGTCTTGTCAAAGCGAAGATCCGATATTTGCCTTCAAGAATGTGGATTAGTGTCTGCATATAGGCGACAAGTTGCGAGACATTCGAATAAGTGAAGAAAAAGAGAAAAAGAAAAACATATGAAATGTCGCTAAAAAAACATTTCGATCCAGTCTGTCCGGCCGTAGATTAAATCCACCTCTAACACTTCTCCATACGCACAGCTGATTCCCGATAAGAACTCTACGACCGTACAGGTGACGACTTCCATGCTTTTTCGTCCTGCAGCCTCGTTTTTTACTGAAACGCGGGCCTTGAAGGCGGAGTCTAGAGGCGGAGTCATTGGAAAAAAGGAGGCGCCACTGAACTCATATTGCGCTACAGCGCCCTTCCCCTACAATTTTTTTTGCCGCAAAACCGGTACAAAGTTGTTCGTAGCGGGCCAGGCTACCCTCTGGATGCCATATTTTCATATCTTCTATAAATTGCGAACCTAGTTGAAGAGCCATATGCTAAAGCTCACGTCCCTCGCCGAGCTGCGCCCGTGCTGTTTAAAGTGAAATCTCTTCCCTAGAATTCAGGATTAGAGGGATCGTGCTTGGTCGCTGTGTGGAGGAGAGAGGGTCGCATTCGCCTTCCAGGAGAAATTTTACCGCGCCGCGAGAATTTTTTCGGCTGTTGACTTATTCAGTTTCCCGCCTTTCTTTATTCAATTGGAGGCAACCTCCCCACTCTGCTCGACGTCATTTTTTGGGAAAAAAACTGGAATATTTCTGGAAACCCGGAAAAAGCTGTAGGACGTTGTAATAACTCAGGAAGTCGTGCTGACACTGCCATTACACAAACTAAGCTGCTGGTGCTGTTGCCTGTTTGCAGCCGGTCATGTTTGAATTCCTTTGCTTTGAAATTTATGGAAGTAATTGATCACGAAATTAAGTAGGACCTTCCAGCACTATATTTACCCTTCACTGATATTGTGGTGTTCTAGGACTACCCAACCTACTTTTCTGACTGGTCCGATTGGACACCATGCACGAAAGCCGGCGAACGACAAATTCGTCGCCGTAAATGTCTAGATCTACGCCGTTGCCTGGGCGCTTTAATGCAAGTCCGCAACTGTCCGGCAGTATTGCCCGAACCAGTCCGTGAGTTTTTTTTCTCCAAGCTACCTATAGCTATTTACTGAATGAGAATGGACGTATTTCTACGGAGTTTTTCAGAATCCGGTCCCATCGAGTCTGTGCGTTCGGTGATCGATGTGCCGCGAATTCCGGAATATGACGACTCAGAAGGTGTGAACCTTTTTTCAACTAAATACCTATTATTATTATTTACTACTAATGGCAATGTATTAAATTACAAGTGTTTTTCTCAGTGTAGCATGATTTTCAGCCGGTCAAGTAGATCTTCGCCAGCCACCTGGCCCACAGGGTACTGCGGAAAATGTTTGGAGTCCATGGCTAGGCGTCTGTCAGGTGAGCTGAAGGACCTTTTATTAGAAATATATTGTGCTTTGCTCTTTGTATTTTGACGTACTCGAATGCCCTTGATTATTTACCGTTGGCTGCCCGTATAAGGCTGTACTAGGCACGGCGCTGTTCTGTTTCAAATCGTCAAAGTTCACTTTTAATAGGTGTTTTCGCTGAAGGCCCATAACGTTTTCAGCGATCGCTTCCATTATTTCATTGATCAAAACAAACATCGAAAGCGAGTTTTGCGAGGTTTTCTGAGGCGATCCTGTTAGCAAACAGGTCCCAAGATTAAAAAGATAATGCTTCTGGCATCCATTAATCCGTTTTTGAGAAAGAGCATGCAAGTTCCACTAGGAATCGTAGAAACATTTTGACTAGGAATTGGCCTATACAATGACTCGAGCCAGCCTACAGTCCGTATCCTGAACACTGGGAGGACGTGACTGCATACGTAACTTGACAATGGCGTAGGAAAGGTTTTTCGTGGAACCTCCTTATTTGAAGCCATCGCAGTCCCGTATTATGCTGGACAAAGACTTGACTGATTACAACTGCCTGCAAACGAAAATATCAATCGAAAGCTAACTGCCGCCACTTTCAAAGTACGCTCCATATCTCGGATATGGAGAGGGCGTGGCTGTGTACTTCATTTATATGTGGATTTGGCTGCGCTTCTGGTGCGATATTTTCGTTTAAGGAGAAGTGGATTTATGCAGTAGCTCTACAGCTGCCAAGATGGCAGCAGTTCAAATGGAAATGTCCTACGAGAAAAGCACTGAAAAGGCTTAGACGAAGTACGCAGCCACGCCCTATGCACCTCTGGGATAAGGCGTGTAAGAAAGCAACCACGCGACGCCATCTCTAGGATATAAAGTGTATGGATCGTCCAGAGGGCAAAAAGGGGTAATCCGGCGACGGCAGCGTGTTCTCATGCCAACTCCTCTCTTGTACATTTTACGTAGACAAACGTATCTTCCTGTCTTTCATGTAGATCCTCGCCGTTCTTGCAGCCACACCTCTTGCCCCTTTCAGACATGACCTCTATAAGTCAGTATAGGTCGACCGCTTTCAAATAACCATTCCCGTGGGATAGAAGTTGGACCAGACGGGAGACAATTCGCGTGGATGTAGTGGAAATAGCAAAGGACTGGGAGCTAACCCATCCAGTTATTCCTTGTGGTCAGACAATGTGGCTTATTGCAGCGACCCCTCACTGAAACCAACAACTTCAAATGTCTCTAAAAAGATCATATTTTTCACTTGTTTCTAAGCAATCATAGGAGGAAATTTCCGTGAGGCTACCGAAAATATCACCAAGCCTCCTTGTGAAGCTCGTGCTCCACATTTCACAATGGGTGGTTTTGGTGCACCAGTGCCGAATATTCCGCCCCTCTGCCCCCTTTGCGTTGCACTCTATCATTTCTTTCGCTGCTGCAGTTGAGCTCACCTTCACTCGTGCTTCTATAACTAATCTTTTTACACGAGTAGCCCATAAGCTTGAAGACAGTCCCCACGCTCAAGCAACTCGTATGCGTTCTCCTTGTACACGTAGTCGGGCCCTCAGTATCCAAGATTATCTCACTTTTGCAGCTTCACAGCAAGTAACAAAGGCGCTGTGGCTCTCATAGTGGCATTCCTTACGCCTCCCCAGATGCCCGCGCACACGAAACGTCAAAGGCAATGTTCGTCCCAAAGATGCCACCATGCTCTACTTAGGGTATTCTCCATGGCTCTTTTTTGCCTTTTCCTTTCCTGGAGAGTTATTTGAAAACACGTTCCGCAATTGCAGTTTGTTTGTAGTAGGGGGGGTCGTATTTGGTCGCCAGGAGAGGGGGGGTCGTATTTGGGCTGGGAAAAATTTATTTTGATAGTTGATTTTTCTCGCTTCACGGACGTTGTAAAGGGGGGGGGTCGTACTTGGTCATTGTTGGGAGGGGAGGGGGTCGTATTTACGTTTTGGCGTTGTAGGAGTGGTGGTTGACTTTTGGTGATTTTCCTGTTTCATGCGTACTATATACCCCCTCCCCCCCCTCCACCCCCGCTCGACGGCTCGATTCGATGAGGAGGAACAGAGGGCCGGAGGAGGGGGGGGTCGTACAGACTCGCCTAACGATCCCCAACCAATGATGTGCCCTGCTCTTTCGTCGCTTACAATTAGTCTCACTGTAATTCTTGCCTTCTGCACGCACAGTGTCTCTTCACCGTTTTCGATGGAAATCAACTGTAAAACAGTGCTCAATTTGAAACTTTGCATCAGTTTTTATTACTGATCTTTCCTTCATGGAGACCCACTTAGCACCTATTAATTCTCACTCTAACAGTATTGCTTACGTCTTCTTATCGTGGAATGGGCCCTTATAGTTCACATCTAATGCAGCAAGGGGCGTGACTGCGAGCGCTCGCGTTATGAAAACCTACGTT